TGTGCGTGTTTGCTCATATTTATCACAAATAAATCCTTGTTTCCAGTGACAGTGCCAGATTTTCAATTCCAAGGAATTTTTGCTGTGTGAAACATGACTAATTTTCATACAGGCCATCTGCCTACAATTTTTTTTCATTTTTTACATTTACTTTTAGTTTGCTAACCAAAGGAGAATTAGTCATGTTTAGGCTTATGCAAGACTTTAAACTATCAGTTGTAAATTGTTATAACTTTGCAGACTTCATTATGAAAGATCTATATACACTCACCGGTCACTTTACTAGGTACGCCTTGCTAGTGCCAAGAAAATATCCCATGCCTGATGAAGGGGTCCTGCGAGACTCCGAAACGTTGCCTTGCTGTAACGTTTCGGAGTCTCGCAGGACCCCTGTAAGGTCATTAAAACCTTTTGCCCCTTATTGGTGATCCTCGGTGTGCTGGTGACATTCTCCCTTAAGAAAATATCCCCCACATCATTACACTGGCACCACCAGCCTGAACTGTTGATGCAAGGTAATTAGAAGTGTGAAGAGGGTTCCTCCAGTATTTCTAGTGTTTCCTTATTTAGATGGCTTTTTTTCTGACACATCAGATTTGGTTAAAGCAGAAATAGATATTGTTCACAATCCTCAAATGGCTCCTCTTCCTGACTAACGGATTTCAGTTCTACTCAGCTTAACCCTGCTGGTAAATTTGGAGTCCACCTTTCTGACCATGCTTCATGTTACACCCATGTTAAAAGTGTAACATGAAACAAGCACCCCAGCAGAAGAAATCATAGATCTCACTGGAGCACAAGTGCAGTGACGTAATCGCATTTGTAGTCCATAGAGATTTTTTCTAGCCTTCTGTTCAAGAGCTATGGATCTGTGGCTGAAAGAATAGTTTGCAAAAGCCTGTGCATTGCACCCATGATCCATTGATTGCAGTTGCAATGCTTTGCAGGTTCCAATGTAAAAAATATTAAATGTACGTTTGAATGAACATGGGTACATCTATAGCATCTAATAACATAATGACATCATCGCAGTGTATATCATTTGTAAAAAGAGCAGCCTGTACTTTATGTTAAATGGTCCCTTAAAGAAGAACTATACTTGTTCCACAATCTAATTAATTGCTTTACAAGTATAGCCAGTTTCAGGTGAAATTACTTTTTTTACTTCCCTGATCCCGCAAAACTTGAGAAATAATGATTCCACTACCTCACATGAGGTCTGCAGTCCACAAAATTTCTGCTTCCCATTGAGTTTTATTTTTCTTCTGATTGTCTTTGGCATTGTCTATGTTATTCAGCTATGCATATTACAAAATACTAAAGCCTTACTTATTTCGGTATTGTTCCCCTTCACAGTATATGACAACATTGGTTAAATTAAACTCTCCAAAACTACCTTTTGGTAGCAGTCGGATTTTGGTGGATTGCCATGTGGAAACACAGAGACTAAAAAGGGCACAAGAGATCGTATCACATCTACTGGTCTAAACCCGTACAACACATTTCACATCTTCTAATGTTAACTTTTTGATAATGTATCTTTATTTGAATACTGTGACTTTTTTTTAATACTGTACTGTTTTGCACTTTAATGAAAAAATGCAGAATTTTACAATATTTATAAAGGATATGTTGGTTTTAGTTATGTACATTCCCTGGAAATATACAAGCTATATATGTGTCAAGTTGATTTTTAAATATAACTTTATTTTACATAAAATGGAAATGAGAAAAAAAATGGAAAAAAAAATGCTACATCCACTATATGTTTTTGTGTAATTGTTCCTGCACAGAGATGTCAATCATCACCCTTGTAATGTGATCTTTATTAGAATATAATGACCCGTGGTCAGGGGTCCATACTTTGCACATAGGCTGCAGCAGGCTTTGTTGCACAATGTAAAGGGCCCATTTGATGTTTTAAGAGACTGTTGTTAAAGAGATCCATGCAAAGAAGATATGAATTGACCACTTCTGCTGCCCATGTCTTAGAAAATCTGCTAGGTGTAGGATCCTTCAGAACCCGACTTGTCCAAGCGTTTCAGTTTTCTGGTCCCCCCCCCACCAAATGCCGTGGTTCCTCTTGCTGCACTACAAGATATAGTAGGTAATGTAGGAGATGGCGGATTGAACCACTGAGCGCAGAAGGGGACCAGGAAACCGACACTCCCAAAAGTTACAGGCAGCAGAAGTCTCTTCTTTGTGAGGATCCCTTCATTTTGAAGATTGACTTTAGAAACAAAGTCAACATAAGCTTTGAATCCTTTCATAAAATTGAGAAAAAAAATAGAGAAACAAATGTGATAAAAGTGGACATTCTGGAACCATTCAGCACAAGACAACAATTCCTACTGTTCTTGTCATTATTGTTTTGCACACACTAGAAACATTGATATTGAACTTTTGATATTTAATGCCTCAGATCAAGAACATTTTATTGAAGGAAGAAAAGCCAACTTGCCTTGAATTGATGTTTTTAGGCAAAACAAACTGTGTAATACAATGTGGACAGTTCCAACATATTGATAATAGGCTTTTTATCTTTTATGTAAGCACTAACAATGTAATTGTATATCTGTCAGGGGAAGAAAAGAACCTTCACTAAATATATACTGTTGTCTGAATGATGTACAAAGCTATAGTATGGATGCTTAGAAACCTGGTCGCCTTATTTATTAAAGTGTATTTTCCTCTACTTATGTATTTAGGCTTGGTTAATAAAATATTCAAGGAACAAATGTGTAGTAGACATAGCAACCAGTCAGATTCCATCTCGGTGTCTCAGTTTTGTAATGTCAGCTCTCTTTGGCTGGTATGGATTACTATCCTGGAGTTCTAAAAATGAGAAAATGGTTATGGAATGATGCACTTTGGTGATGTCATGCATGTATTTCCCAAAATGTTCTGCAAACGTCCAGCTGTTTTGCATATAGTCCATAGATACGAATGCCAACATAATGGAAAGTGAAATACCACTGAATTGAATTCAAATATACCTGAAGAAAGCCTGAAATACCTACCTGACTCAGAGAAACCACTGCTCTGAAATCCTACAGTGGTCAGTTAAAGTCCTAGGCATCTGACCTGATCTCTGCCAAAGGGGAAGGTCGGAACTCAGATTGGCCGATCCTTTCCTTCCAAAGAGATCTCTTGACTTAAAACTGAACTCCAGGAAAAACCAATATTGCTTGTTTGTTCTTCCCTGAATATTGGTGTGCTTTGTGTAATTCTTCCAGATCTGTGAAGTAATCCAATGTGAAACTTTGCCTCTGTGCAGGAGCTTCCAGTAATAAAGACTGGTAGCTACTGCTCTCTCTCTCTTGGTTAGGCTGACTGGTCTTGTCCCCCCCCCCCCCCCCCGTAGATTTCTGCAGTCAGCCTATAGTGGGTGGGGCCTGCTGGACTCCTCCCACAGCTCTGCTTTCTGCGTAGGCTATGGGATGATGACACTACTACATTTACAAGACAATATCTGTGTTTTTAAAGGCATTTGGTGCACAAGCAGTGACATTACATTATGGGGGATATATTTAAATGGAAGTTGTGCCTGGAATTCAGCTTTATTGCCTTGACATTTGGTTATATAATCAGAGCAAGATTTTCCCCCAATGCATGTATCCCAGAGTTGTTGTTTTTTTGTAACAACTTTGAATTTAAAATATTTTAACTTGTGGATGTATATATGTAACAATAGATGAAAACTGGTGGGATGCTCCATGTTTATCGCATGCCTTTTATTTAATGACACTGGCTTTGATCAGTGTTTTGCAAATCTCTTTGCTCTACTTGTAATATAAAATACTTAAAATAATAATACTTGTAAACAAGAGAACAGACAAGCATCATGTTTTGGTACATACACTCCACTAAATGAGTTAAAATGTCAAGTATAAAAAAATATAGTAAAACACCAAAGAAAATGTGATTGCTAATTACTGTACAATTGTTTTTATTTAACTATTACACATATTGGTAAATGTGTATTTATAAAATACACTACAGATTAACACCTGATGCCTATAAAATGAATGAATCTCTATAAGTCGTGAAATATGTGGCACCAGTCTTAACATTTAAAATAGATGTAAACCCTAACTGAATGACATTTAGATTGCTAAAGCACTGTGTATCATAAACAACTGGCATTTTTTAATAAAATACTTGTTTTCACCTTTTTCATCTTTTGTTGCATCTCAGTGCTGCTGATCTTCTGCAGCATCTTTGCAGTCACTTGCCGTCTACATGCACACACTCCAGGGACAGCTTCTTGACATTTCTTAGGGTAGGTTTCCTATGCCAAGCTGGTTGAAAGGTCAAATATTAGTCCTCATAAGAAGCTTGTGAGGATAAAGATGCCGAAACACAATTGGAAGACGGACAAAGTGCTGTCACACTAAAACAGGAAGGGGAGACATGGCAGGATCACCAGCTCTAGTTTTTGAGATACAGCATAAATGCCATATACCATTCTTCACTCTGGTCGCCTGTTGAAAATCAGGATATTTTAATGTAATGTTTTATTTGATCTCTTTGTAGCATGAAAGGAACACATAAAAAAAAAGTAGCCATAACCTCTACTGTGCTCGATCTACAAAAATGAAAGTACAGCGGGTAAAATAATTATTAAACACTAGTGGTGCACCAAAACCAAAAATTCAGGATGCACTTGGCCAAAAACCAAACCCGAAATGGACGTTTATTAAGAATTAATATATAATTTTTGGAAAAAATACACTTTATCCACCTTCCGCCCACCCTACAGTACAATGACGGGCACAAGGTGGTTCTCTCGTTCTGGGAGGATGTCATATGACGTCCTTCTATTCTCACTGCGAATGCACGGCTCAGGGAGCGCACAGCGCAGCGATCGCCGGTGCGCTGTGTCCCTCGGACACAGCGGATCACGGAAAGAGCCGAAGATGTTGGCTCGGTCATGTGATCAGCTGTGTCCAATCACAGCTGATCACAAGTAAACACGGATATGCCGGTTATCGGCATTTCTCTCCTGTCGAGCTGTCACGCTGGCAACTCAAGAAGAGAGGAGAGCCGGTAATCGCTTTTCGCGGAGGGGACATGTACACTGATCATCAGGGCACTGATGATCAGTGTGGCCCCAGAAGTGCCACTTGTCAGTGCCCATCAGTGCCACGTGCCAGTGCCCATCAATGCCACATATCAGTGCATACCAGTGCACATCAATGCCACATATCAGTGCCCATCTGAGCTGCCTTATAATGTCACCCATCAGTGCCAGTCAGTGCCACCTATCAATGCCAATCAGTGCCACCTATCAGTGCTGCCAATCAGTGCCAGTCAGTGTCGCCTATCAGTGTGCATCAGTGCCGCCTATCAGTGCCAGTCAGTGCCGCCTATCAGTGCCATATATCAGTGTCATGTATCAGTGCTGCCTTTCAGTGCCCATCAGTGATGCCTGTCAATGCCCATCAGTGCAACCTACCAGTGCCTCCTCATCAGTGCCCATCAGTGCCACCTATTAGTGTCCATCAGTGCAGCCTATCAGTGTCCATCACTGCAGCCTCATTAGCGCACATCAGTGAAGGAGAAAAATCACTCATTTACAAAATTGTATAACAAAAAGTAAGAAAAAACAGGGTTTTTTTTTCAAAATTTTCAGTGGTTTTTGGTTTGTTTAAGAAAAAATAAAAAACCCAGAGGTGATTAAATACCACCAAAATAAAGCTCTATCTGTTACAAAAAAATGATAAACATTTCATATGGGTACAGTGTTGCATGACCGCGCAATTGTCATTCAAAGTGTGACAGCGCTGAAGGCTGGAAATTGGCCTGGGCAGGAAGGGGGTGTAAGTGCCCTGTAGTCTAGTGGTTAAGGATGAAAAAAACAAGCACAATATATCCCAATTTTTTTGTAAAATATGAAAGATGATGTTACGGCGAGTAAACAGATACCCAACATGTCATGCTGTAAAATTTGCGTACGCTCGTGCAATGGCATCACACTACGGTACTTAAAAATCTCCATGAGTGACACTTTAATAATTTGTACAGGTTACCAGTGTAAAGTTACAGAGGAGGTCTAGTGCTAGAATTATTACTCTTGCTCTCACATTTGTAGCGATACCTCACCTGTGTGGTTTGAACACTGTTTACATATGTGGGCGTGGCTTACATATGCATTCACCACTATGTGCGAGCACAGGTGGACGGGGGTACTTTAAACTTTATTTTTTAACTTATTTAATTTAAGGCCCTTTAAAAAAAATTTAATCACTTTTATTGCTATCACAAGGAATGCATGCATCCCCTGTGATAGAAATAATTAGTGACAAGTCCACTTTATGGAGAGATATGGGGTCAATAAAACAATATAAAGCATTAGATCAAAAAAAGCATTGATCTAGTGCTTTAAAAAAAAATGTGCTTGTTTGCAAGGCGCCGGAACCGGAAGTGACATTGCTTCTGTCCTCCACGGGCATAGAGATGAGTGGAGGCCATCTTTCCTTAACTTATCTCTATGCCCAGTCCCGGGATCGTTCGGTGGTTTCTCAGGTATGGCTGAGAACAACGGAGTGGCGGCAGGTTGCGGTAAGGGGCGGCAGCAGCGAAGGTATCGGTGCTTATTTTCATATCGACCAACGGGCCATAGGGGTGTTTTCGGCCGAAACGTTTCGGTCACCAAAATTCTGTGCATCCCTATTAAACACATCACCAATTTTCTCAGTAAATATATTTCTAAAGGTGCTATTGACCTGAAACAATCCATCCAATCCATACATACAAAAAAAAACTAAATAAATAAGGTCAGAAATTAAGTTACTGTATGTCTAATGAATTGGAATGACACAGGGGAAAAAATAATGTAAACGCTAACTGAAATACTTCGTACAAAATCCTTTGCTGGTAATGACAGCTTCTCTTGTATGGTGAAACTAGCCGCATGCATTGCTCAGGCATGATTTTGGCCCATTCTTCAAATCTTGAAGGTTCTGTGGGCCTCTTCTATCCATAGACTTTTTATTGGATTCAAGTCAAGTGATTGACTGGGCCATTCTAGCAGCTTTAATTTTCTTTCTTTGAAACCAATTGAGTTTCCTTGGCTTTGTGTATGGGATCATTATCTTGCTGAAATTTCTGCCCTCGTTTCATCTTCATCATCTTTGCAAGGAGCACCTGGTCGTGGCTGGTTTATGGTGGAATGATGTTCTTTCCACGTTCAGATTATGGCCCCAACAATGCTCACTGTAACATTCAGAAGTTTAGAAATCCTAAAGGTTGCAAAAGTCTTGAGAAAGCTCTTTTACCCATCATGAGATGTTTGTTGTGTGACACCTTGGTAATGAGACACTTTTTTATAGGCCATCAGTTGAGACTGAACCAGCTGATATTAATTTGCACTGACAAGGGGCAGGATTGCTTTCTAATTACTGTAGATTTCAGCTGGTGTCTTGGCTTTCCATGCCTTTTTGCTCCCTATCTTCATGTGTTCAATACTTTTTCCCTGAGTCATTCCATTTTATTACACATAACTTAATTTCTGAACTTGTTTTGGTTTCTTTGTGTGTATTGGTCGCATGGGTTGTTGCCAACATGTGGTGAAAATGTTATGTCAATAGCACCTTTAGAAATATATTTACTTAGAAAAATGGTGGCATGTTCAATACTTATTTTACTCTCTGTATGAGTGGCAATATACACACACCTCCTAAATGATCATACATATAATACAGTTGCAGTATTGCAGTATTCTAAACTTGCAGTTTAGAATCCAATGTTTCTGATCTAAAATTACTGTTGGAAGTACAGAAACACTCTCACTATATCTGTTAGCGCAAAACACAAACTAGGTAACAGAAGAACAAGTTGACCAGCAAGATCTTTTCAAAAACTGACTGAAAAATTATATAAATTTGGCAATATGTAAGAAACTAGAGCTCAGGGGCAGACTGACAACTCATGGGCCCCCCCGGGCAATAGGGGATCATGGGGCCCCTGTGTCCTTGCCCAAACTCAAAAAAGCCTATGAAAAAGGTACCAGGGGCATCTCATGGGGCCCCCTACTGACCCAGGCCCTCAGGCAGTGCCCGAGTTTCCAAATGGTCAGTCCGCCCCTGCTAGAGTTGATGTAGTCTAGCCAATGCAATCTTTGGAATTAGAGCCCCAAAACAGGTTTAAATAGCAAGATACCAAGAAAAAAGATTTTTCGTTGTTGGGCTGTGTAATGTGTAGAAACTCAGAGCAGCCAGATCACAGTCTGGTAAAGTCAGATTGGTAGAAGTTAAATTTCAGTTGGTTTCTACAGTTGCACAGGTACTCTTTGCCTTACAGAGTTAGCACAATTACCATTTTGATTGTGCTGCTTTATATGCTGCATTCCTCTTATTAATTTGTGTGTGTATATATATATATATATATATATATATATATATATATATAATCAAATGTAAGGCATCTGAAGTATCTGGTTGTACTAGTTCAGTGAGAACAGATTACAGCTCTTGATTTATTATTCTCATGTTTACCTTGAACTAATTTTAAAGTAACGCTTACATCTTGCATTCTTGCTTATAAACATTCAATTATATAAAGGGGTGCCTTGATTCAAACAATGGACTTGTTCCAGAAAATGAATGTGTAAGTCAAATTTCCATAATTTAGCCTTTAATTATGTATACATTTAGCTTAAATAATGTTAACTGGTATAGTTGCATTCCATCTATATAATGCATTGACACTACTTACACCCTACACACGTGAATGATGTGGCATGCCACAAACTATATGCTTTCAATACATCAGCACATACAATAAAAGTACAGAAAGCTGATGCCAACAAAAGTATAAATACCAGGTCATATTTAATCATGGTAGAGTACTGTTTTGTGTACCTGAAAGGATGGGAGACACAGTGCAGGGGATGCCTTTAAAGTTCTTCCATCACTGTAAACGGTGGGGTGCAGAGGATGCTTGTAAAACATTGTACAGGATATACTCTACAATTAGGGAAACAATGGGTTTTGGGGATACCTGTGTAACATTGTATGGTATAAAACAATGGTCTCCATACTGTGGCTCGAGGGCCAGATGTGGCCCTTGGGGTACTATTCCACCAACTGACATCCTCGATGGGGCATTATTCCTCCCACTGACAGGGCACTATTCTTCACATTGATACAAACACTATTCCCTCTTATTCAAACCAATAGTGAGGCATTGTTTATGTCCACTGATCCCGGGGCATTTTATACTGTCACTGGTCACGGTCCGGCCCCCCTAAACTGAAAGACAGTAAACTGGCCCTTTGCTTAGAAAGTTTGGAGACTGCTGCTGTATACTCTAAAATCAGGGAGACTGGGGTTCAGGGGATGTCTGTATAAAACTGGATAACATTGTATGGTATATACTGGGGAGACAGTTGGGTTCAGAGGATACCAGTGTAACATTGCACAGTATATACTCTACAATCAGGGAGACAGTGGGGTTCAGGGGGTGCCTGTATAACATTGTATGGTATATACTCTAATATTGGGGAGACAGTTGGGTTCAGAGGATACCAGTGTAACATGACACAGTATATACTCTACAGTCAGGGAGACAGTGGCGTTCAGGGGATGCCTGTATAACATTGTATGGTATAAACTCTACAATTGGGGAGACAGTTGGGTTCAGAGGATACCAGTGTAACATTGCACAGTATATACTCTACAGTCAGGGAGACAGTGGGGTTCAGGGGGTGCCTGTATAATATTGTATGGTATATACTCTACAATTGGGGAGACAGTTGGATTCAGAGGATACCAGTGTAACATTGCACAGTATATACTCTACAATCAGGGCGACAGTGGGGTTCAGGGGATGCCTGTATAATATTGTATGGTATATACTCTACAATTGGGGAGACAGCTCGGTTCAGAGGATACCAGTGTAACATTGCACAGTATATACTCTACAGTCAGGGAGACAGTGGGGTTCAGGGGATGCCTGTATAATATTGTATGGTATATACTCTACAATTGGGGAGACAGCTCGGTTCAGAGGATACCAGTGTAACATTGCACAGTATATACTCTACAATCAGGGAGACAGTGGGGTTCAGGGGATGCCTGTTTAACATTGTATGGTATATACTCTACAATTGGGGAGACAATTGGGTTCAGAGGATACCAGTGTAACATTGCACAGTATATACTCTACAATCAGGGCGACAGTGGGGTTCAGGGGATGCCTGTATAATATTGTATGGTATATACTCTACAATTGGGGAGACAGCTCGGTTCAGAGGATACCAGTGTAACATTGCACAGTATATACTCTACAGTCAGGGAGACAGTGGGGTTCAGGGGATGCCTGTTTAACATTGTATGGTATATACTCTACAATTGGGGAGACAATTGGGTTCAGAGGATACCAGTGTAACATTGCACAGTATATACTCTACAGTCAGGGAGACAGTGGGG